AGGAGATAGATATGGGGGTCGCCAAGTAACCACTTACAGATATCAATTAGGATGTGGCACGGGCCTGGGAAGAGATACCAAACAAAAGATTGTTGTGCTTTTAGTAAGTACTTCACGGATGTAGGTAGACATATAGCTGCGCTTGCGTTTCTCTTTGTCGCTCCCTTTGCACTCCGGTTTTGAGCGTCGACTTTTTAAGTTTTGTAGACATTTTTCGCGTCAGTCCCGCTTGGTTATCGTAGCTCAAGCTAAGGGAAAGTCTATGTTTTTGGTGACTAAGGCTCTCAATTACGTGTAACGACAAAACTACTTCGTCGCCGAGCACACAAAATTTTCAAATCAGTTTTCTGAATGCCTTAGTCCCTTTCTGAGATATACAAACTCTATCTAATACACTGACAAAGCCTCTACATAAAGAAAAAGTTAATCTAAAGTGGTTAAAAGAGCAATTCACACCCGTAGGTAAGTCTTTTTTCGACACTTCCTTTTAAAACTACAGGAATTGTTTAACGAGTAGTTTTTTCAGACATTGTGCACAAGATGACGCTCTCGATTTTGAGTTACTATTAATACCTGTTTTACGTCAACATGAACTGTTCCTTTCCGTTTAGATCCTTTCAAATAAAACTTGACTCTCATGTAGTTCTCACCATCAACTAAGTATTCTTGGTAACTGTAATGCAAAATAAAGGATATTGATAAAGAACTTTACTTAGGACAAATTTAATGGTACAGTTGTAAGTGTGACTTCGGAAATCACAGTGCACAGTTGAAACTTGTTATCTCGACCTCTCTACTGTCTTGAACACAAATCATTTTTCTGTGGATTCGTTTTTCAGCCATTTACAATCGCCTATCTCAAACTCCTGCCATCTTGATTTTTTGGGGGGTTTCATTGAGACTTTGACATAGCGGTGTTAAACTTATCACATTACAATACTATACAACAAGTTTCAGCCGCTAGTTTCGGGCTGAAGTCTGAATTGTGAAATCTCAGAAAAAGTTTGGCGCATAAAAGTTCCTTTATCTTCATCAAAGTAGAGGATATGGCCGATAAAAAGCTTCTGATGTTTCCTTTTCCCAATGACCTACTTTTCCCCTAGATGCTCTCGGCAAAATTTGAATTTGAAGCCCTAAGCGAGATGGTGAGTACCCCTTGTCTCCTCCGCAGCCGTTATTAGGGTCGTCACGCAACGCTTCTCCCCCACTAGTTAGTTAGTTAGTTAGTTAGTGACGACCCTAATAACGGCTGCGGAGGAGACTAGAGTACCCCCGGCCTATGTATATGGAGTTCCCCTGGGACTTTTCTACATGATAAAATAGCATAACATAGCTTGGTAACCAAGTCCTTCTATGATGCAATAACATTGAAACATTAGTGTGAGGTGACAAAACACCTGGAATAGAAGGCCCAGGTTAAGCACAATTGTTTTTTGAGTTTATTCATTATTTCTCTCAGCTCCATTATATCCAATCTAGTAATTATCCACTTAACATTCATCTACTTACATTAAACTATACAGTGAACAATCAAAAATAATTATTACTACCTTTAATTCTACCATTAATGACTGCTATTCCTTTCAACAATACAAAGAGCACTTATGTAACGTTATATTTCTTATACTTACATGATCACTGAATACAGGAAGAAAACATTGCTTTGGATAACCTAAAGTTACTTTACATTAATTATTTTAATGATTAGGAATCACTTTAATTACAATGAAACTTGTGAAACTAACAAGAAAGTGGAGGAGACATCTTTTGTTTCTCATATTATTTATGCTTTGATATGTTTGAACTTATTGAAGCTATTAAGCATAATAAAATACTATTCAAAGAGTACAATACCTTACATGCCTCCTCCTTCCTCTTGAGGTTGTTTCTCCATGACCCATGATGGGTTCACCAACAGCCTCCACCACCTGCATAATTTAACATTGACAGAGGTATTTATCAGAGATCACCTATGGAATGGTCAGGGAAA